TCGGCTCAGGGATAATATCGGAAGATATATTTATTAGAAATATTACGCCTTCTTCAACGGTTTTCGCTAACAATTATTTTCTCACACCACTTTCAACAAATGCAAGCGATGGGAATAAAATAACAAAGAAACGAACTATCGCCCCTAAGGAAGAACAGAAGGTCCAAAATGTACAAACTATTTTGGAGGCTGAAAAAGCGAAATTGGAGAAGTTGGAGTGTGCGAGAAAAATGCAACAAATCGAAGAACAGTCGGAAGAGATTTACAACAGCTTATACAAGGAAATCGCGTATGAATTCTGCTCTGCCATTGCGAAAGAAAATATCGAAAGGATAAAAATATATGATACATTGAGCGAGAAAATTCTTTTCGACATGACTGGCGAAATTATTCACGAGATATGTAATGTAGCATTGACTGCTGAAATTAAAAATCAGCGGAAGTTACAAGCCATGTTGTCAAGAATTAAAAATCAAGTAGTTGTCAAGTGTTTCAATGTTTGGAAACAGTACGTATCGAGAAAGAAACGACAGAGAGAAGCATTGGAAAACACACCGGTTTGGTTGCAGAGACAATCCGTGGAGGAAAACGCGAAAATGCTATATTCCAAGGAACAGGAAGTAGTGATACAAAATATGCGCGAAAAACAATGTCAACTGGATGAGACAACCAATATGAAAACTCTTGCGCCAATCGAAATTATCGTGTACGCCGGTATTAAAGAGAATCTACGATTATTGGATATTGGTCCTTTGACTAATATATTTTGGAAACTGGTGATCTCCTGGCCGGATTTGAGCAATAGAACGGTCTTATGGCATTACAAGAAAGTGATAAATGAGTACTTATATCCTGAAGATTTTACGATGGATCCTATTATAAAAACTTATCGACCAAATCCCTATGAAACTTTACATGTTTGCATAAGACATCTCGAGGGTTTTATCAGTGAGCATAATTTAGTCGGTACTGATGCGCTTCTATTTATCGCTGATGCTTCGGAAAACTATGAATTTGTTACTAAACGTTTAACGAAAACTGTATTATCAAGACACAAGTTGATGCCTATGCCGCTCGCTTTTATAATCTTGGGTAATGGAAATTTGAAAATTCAGAATGACAATATTGTCTCAGTCTTGGAATCTCTCTTGGAATCTGGTTACATACTGGAATATACAATTATGTACAAGGAAGATCTGTCTACAAAAATTATTTTAAATTTGATACAAAGTGTAGTTTTATGGTTGACAATGAACAAATCGCCACCAATTCCATTGGAAATGGATTACTTGTATAATATATATAACATTTGTTTATCAGAAGAGTTGTGGTTAAGGTAATATTGTTTTTCTCAATTTTTTTATATTTTTTTTTTGAATTATATTTCAATGTTATGTATATAAAGTGTCTACTTCCTGGAAAAATATTTAAAACCTGGAATTCTCAGGGATTTTTTTTCTAGCTGGAAAAATCAGGAAATTCTCATGGCATTTTATAGAGATTGTGTATTTCTTAAAAAATTTCTTTATAATTCTTTGATATTTTCATTCTTATATTGTAAGCAATCGGCAATCAAGCTGATAATTCAACTGTTATGAACTGTCTGTGTGTGTGTGTGTATGTTTATACAGTCAATGTCTTAACAAAAAATGTGCAGTACATATTTTTTATTGTAATTTTTAGTGATAAAAAAATAAAAGTGTTTGTCTTATAAAAACTATTCAGTTTTTTTTTTCAGTACATTTGCAAATCTAGCACTTGAAACTTAAGTGACTTTGTTTTTCTTTTGTATGAGTGAAAAGCATTAGAAACTGCATAGAATGAAAAAACTTATTTTAGAAAGCATCAAAAAATCTTTAAAATATTCTCTTTACCTAGAATTTTGAACCTAAATACGTGGAAGATCAGGGAATTTTTTTACAAGATTTAAGTAGAGACTTTGTATGTGTAACATGTATTGTGCATATTTCATTATTATTTAATTATTATCATTTACAGGATATTGGATGATGCTATGTTCAATAAACAATTGTCAAATGCATTAAGAAATCCCAATTTTGTAATTGATTTACACAATGAAGCTGTAAATCATTTGATAGACATAATTTTAGATCCAGAATCTATGTTATATACAAATTTCGCACCCGAGTTAAAAAAATTCCTTCAAAATAGTAGTATGATGCCATGCAGTTATGAATATTTCGACGAATCGTGGAAACAAGATGAATACAGAGCAAAATTAGAGAACACAATGAATAGTTTTGTGTTACCACCATGGAAGTAAGTATGCGATCTATAATATAATATTAATTAAGATATCTATAACATACATACATTAAAAATCACTGTATGCCTTTTAATATTTTTGTGTTTATTTTCTTACTTTAGTGCACCATGGCCAATAACGGATATACAAGACTTACGACGATATATTATAAAATATTGTAGAGAGGTGCTATCTGACTCAAATTGTAACATCGTATTTTGTGATATATTAAGTAATTTATATCTTACTTCAGGAAGTTTGCAGTTATCCAATTTCGTACACATACTATTACATGTGGTTAAAGAAAAGATACAACTTCTGGACGAACAAATAGTCATTTATAACAGAAATCACATCAAACATTTCCAGACATTACCGTGGTGGTTTAAATCTAATGTACTAACAAAATTCCTGTCGCAGGAATTAAATTTTGATGATAATTATATATTAAATGAACCGGCGATCAAAAGAAAGAAACTCAATACATCGGCGAACGATTTGTATGATAGTGTATTAGACGAGAAATTTGATTCATTAGCAGAATTTTGTGAAAGTACCAAAGCTCGAATCATAGAGATACACTCTGTATCTAAGGAGATAGAAAGCCGTTTGCAAACGCAACAATTGGAGAATACATTATTGGAAGAGAGACTGAAGAATGCCTTGTTTGACGAAGAGAACTTTGTAAAGAGAAATGCGTGATTTTTTCCCATTCAGTTATATATGGCATGATTTATAATAGTATTTTGATTTTGTAAGTTTTATTATGTACAAATATATATATATATATATATATGTGTGTTTAAAAATATGTAAATAAAATGTCATAACAAAATTCAGCTATAATTTTATTTAAATATTATGAAATTATATATTATAGACGAACATGTAAATATTATATATTTAGTAATTTATTTTTCATATATAATTCAATTATCCCATACAATATATAATATAATTCATAGAATTATAGGATACAGAAATATTCTTAACAAAACATCGCTTTTCTATGATCCGAAAAGTATTGTCATTTGATATTGTACATCGGCAAATTCTCATAAAGAAAACAGAAAAAAATATTCTTCGTAAATAATATTCTGAAAAAATCAGTGAGGGAGTGGGAGGGGGG